TAATAGTTTTTTTCTTCAAAAAATTATTGCTGATAATAATTTTTTACAAAGTATTTCTGGTATTAAAACCTATTTTTACACTTTCGTAGTGTTTTTACCTCAGTTTCGGGATTAACTATTTGTCCATAGCTGCGAACCTAACAGGTACTACCACCCCGGATGAGGGTAGACCTGGGAACACCAGCAATTAAGAGGTGGTTCTACGCTCCTCAAAACCACCTGATCAGAGGCCTTGCCGCTGGACGTAGTTTATCGTCTTACCCAAGACGCGGATGTAGTTTATTGTCATACCCAAGACGGGAAAGGAAGATTGTATTATGCCAATTTTACTATTGATGAGTGCTTGTCTATTTTTAAAACTAGCATTCGAAATAATTGCCTTGCTAAGGGATTAAACACTAAGTTCGAGCACTGATGAGAAATGCGTATCTTTTCAGTGATGATGTAGTCAGCGTTTAGCTTGTAATCCTTGTGATCAGGGTTCGATTGCGCTTAAGTAAAAATAAATGGACATTTACAACACAATGTTCTTAATTCTTTTATTGATTAGCGTTGTTTTAGACTAGGTATGCATAACCTTTTTTCAAGCACTGATATATACTTCATCATAGCACGGGCTACACTATTAAAAACATTCAGGACGATTTTTATTGACGATTCCGCATTCATTTTCAACACAGAAGATTACACGCGTAAAGCATCTACGTGATAAATAGGGAAAGTCGATTTTTTTTTTTGAGAAAAGTTTATTTCTATACTTAAAGAAAATGAATTGTTGATATAATATTATCCCTGATGGCAAGTGAAATTAACACACGATGCTTCATTTGATTTGTTTCCAATTTATTCATTTGAATATGCACAAAAAAATACTGCAACAGATAACAGAAACCACATCACTTGTGAACTAGCAAAATCAGCAAAAAATATCACATATAACTCGAAGAGGAAACAATGACATAATCATGATGCTGACTTTCCACACTACTTCAAACAAAAGGTTAGGAAGGAAGTTCCCATCAATACTAGACAGGGCAATAAGAGCTCGTGGATTTGAGAAACCTACTTTTCTGAAAAAAATTATAAAATATATTTTAAAGCAATTTTTCAAGAAAATAGGTTTCTCAAGTTGAGTCGCTGTTATTTATAAAATATATATTTAAAAAATTTTTTTAAGAAAATAGGTTTCTCAAGTCCAGTAGCTGTTATTGCTCTTTCCAGTATTAACATTGGTTTCCTTAGTAACCATTTAATTGAAGTAGTTGCTGACATTCCACACTACTTCAAACAAAATGTTAGGAAGGAAATCCCCATCAATACTAGAAAGAACAATAACAGCTATTGTATTTGAGAAATCTATTTTTCTACAAAATTGTTTTTAAAAGAAAGATTTTATAAATTTTAACCGACTGTAATAGTTACTATGTCAAAGAATGCTAAATGTTTTCTTATAAAGAAGCGGTTTTGTTTATTGATATTTATACATTTTGTTTTCTTTTGGAACAAGTTCCTTTCTCTGCAACTAGGATTCTTGTTGTTGTGGTTGTAAACTTAGGCAGGAAAACCTCATTAATACTAGAAAGAACAATAACAACTACTGGACTTGAGAAATCTATTTTTCTGAAAAATTGTTTTAGAAAGACTTTACAAATTTCAACCGAAGTTAGTAATGGCTTCTCGGTCAATGAATGCCGAATGTTTCCTCATAAGGAAATGGCTAATGTTACCATTACACGTAGGTAAGATTTATTTTATCCAATTCCCAACGTAGTAAGTAATCATAGTTTTATTACATATAAAACAGCAAAAGTACAAGTGTACCGATGCCATAATCAACGTAACCGTTTATACCTTCATTACCAAAACAAAATATTCTATTAGCATAGCCAATATAACAACACCCTTTACTATTTACTATAATAACGGAAACATGTTTTATGTAAGTCTTTCACAGGCATTTCTGCTATTATGCGTGACCTCATTTCCAGTAATAACGCCATAACATTAAGCAAACCTCGGGAAAAGTGTGCGGATGTGTCTTTTTACTTTCTTTTTGTCTTTCTTTTAAAAGTGCATCTACTGTTTGCCCTTCCGACTGGCCTCGTCTCAATCTCCTGCCTTTAAGTGAACGCGTTAAGAACAAACACTAACAGAACGCAACGATTCGAACGTAGGAAAAGCGTATCAAAAGAGGCGGCATCTGTGGCGTTGTGGGGCAGAGCAGGGTTGGATGTAGGATATCTAATATTCGATGACGAAATTGCTCGCTGTTTCAACTTGATTGACAACACTAAGGAGATTTCGCTGGACTCTGGCTTTCGTACGGCTTTTTACAACCCGTTCAAGCAATCATCGCCCGTTCTACGGTCCTAGACCACCATTTCTTTTGGCACCACTTTCTTCTTCCCGCTTCTCTTACCAAATTCTTTTTTATGGCTTTATCTACTGTTTTTTTTCTTTATCCTCTCTTACTTTTCTTTCTTCACTTTTTTCTTTTTATCATTTATTCTCCCCTTTATTGTTTTTATCTAATTTCTTTGTTTCTTTTCTCCCCCTATACGTTGGTTTCGTTCGCCACTTTATTCCTTTATTTATCTTATTTACATATGCTGGTATTCTTTCTCAACATTTATGCTTATATATATATATATATATATATATATATAGAGAGAGAGAGAGAGAGAGACAGAGAGAGACAGACAGAGAGAGAGTCAGAGAGATGTGTGTGCATTCTTTTTTCAACATTTTTGACCCATATATATATATATATATATATATATATATATATGTGTGTGTGTGTGTGTGTGTGTGTATGTATGCATGTATATAGACCGTGTATACTCATGTAACGTGTAATGTTTATGTTAAATACAGCTTTACTTTTGACTACAGTAAATGGATATATAGTTTCATCAACGCCGTAGCCAGGGTCAGCAGTACATACGACAAATCTATATCCCGTGTATGATGCGACCCCCTTAAAATTAGCTTCAAAATTAGGTCTTCAAAATTCACACGATGCGCGAGGATATACGGTATAATAGCACAAAGCAAGTGCTAGTGTTAATAGTACTCAATATAAAATAGTCCAAGTTTATAACTCGAAATTATTGAATAAAAGAAGTGAATTAATGGTCACATGTAGAAATAAAAAATGTTGAACCAGATTGATTTATTTGTACGCGCTCTCTCTTTCTCTCTCTCTCTCTCTCTCTCTATATATATATATATATATATATATATATATATATATATATAAATACGCTTGTTTATTTATTTTTGTTCTTGTTTTTTATTTTACCAACATACTTAATTTTCCCATAAGTAAACGGAGGACTGCAGTCTTACCAGGAGGCTATAGATATAGATACATTGCAACAGTCAGGTTTAATTTGTACCTGACGATTGCCACGTTCATGAAACTTAAAATTGCATCAAACGGTGAGGAACAAATATACTTATTTTTTGTTTATATATATATATATATATATATATATATATATATATATATATATATATATATATATGGATGTTAGAGGTTGGATTTTGTATTTATTAATCCGACAATTTTATTAATTAAACGTTATTTTTATTGGATAATCATAGTAGATTCACGGTTTATTCATTAAACAGTATGTTTATCTATTTAAGCCTGACAGAGAGCGCATATTTTTAAGTAGATGGATAAATAAATAGGTATTCAATACTCTCTGACACAAAAACCACGTATGTTGTATCTTGTAAGGATTTTCAATGAAATAAATTCGTATAAATAATTATATACTTCTGTGTACATATGTAGAAATACAAGCAAAATGGTATGCATAGATTGATTTGTTGGTTTGTTGATATATATATATATATATATATATATATATATATATATATATATATATATATATATATATAAGAGAAAAAGAACAGTAAAATTTATAATCCGGGGTTCTTATTAATTATATTTATTTTTAAAACACTGCTCAATACAATTCTGCAGAGCATAATTCTTACAAATTTACTAAATTAGTAAATTTATCATATATATATATATACACACACAAACACATAATAATTTATACATAAATTGTATTTTGTGTAATATATACACAAAATATAATAATAATAATAATAATAATAATAGTAGTAGTAATGACCGCTCCATTCCAAGTATTCCTGTCTGCTGGATGGAATCGTTTTTGACAATCGTTTTTGCTCAGACACATTTAATCAACACCCACAACTGTTTGAACAAGACAAGGTATACTCAAAAAAAAAAAAAACGCTCACGTTGAGTTGTGATTTCGCGCAAGCAAGACCATCGATGAACAATTTGGTCTTAACAATTTCACTCGCAAGGCTTGGTTCAAGCCGTGGAATGGTTTTCCACCACTTTCCAACAGGCCGATAATACCAAGAAATCACCTTCTAGACAAATTGACCATGGTGAGATTCGAACCCGGGTTTCAAGAAAATCGAATGTTCTAACACTCGGCGACGCACCCATATACAAATATATATTTACACACAATATATATATATATATATATATATATATATATATATATATATATATATATATATATATATATATATATATATATATATATATATATATATATATATTTAAAAATGTAAACTCCACTCATATTAATCTCTACCACAATATGATTGCGCTTATATGTGATTTCGTGTGGGCGGAGTGCAGACCCCACGCATGAACATTGTTGTATATAGAAATTCGCTTCAAGTCTTTCTGACCAACATCAGAAACTAGTCTTATTGCTTGATATAAAATCGCACAGTTATTGTCGATAAGATTTTAGTCTGTAGGTCAGCAGGCCACGGGGGTCTGGGGATAGCCAAGTTAAGGTTAGGGAGCGAGGTGTTTTGGTGCTGAGTCCGCAACGATTGAAATTGGCGTACAAACAAGAAGCGTTGGCGGGAATTGTTGTAGCCGAAAGGAGGAAGATGGAGCAAAACAAATAAAAGCGAAGTTGTTACATTCAGGTCAGATAGCGGGAGATAGACACTGGAGGAATTTGTGAGATACGCTTCAATGGTTGCTTCTAGGAGACATGAGAAACCGTAGTCATTCGTTTAGATAGAAACATATAGAAATAACCCACACATGCTTTACATGCAGACATCGGAATGTTGCAACAAATGTGTCTTATGCGCATGCACGTACCAAGATAGATACAGCGGATATTTACAAGACGCTATGCTTATAGAGGTGCGCCGTTTGACGCACGGGTTATATATTGTATTATGATTTGATTTGCTGCAGGTTTAAGTATCCTCCATCGAATAAATTCACACTTCTTGTGTGTGTGTGTGTGTGTGTGTGTGTGTGTGTGTGTGTGTGTGTGTGTGTGTGTGTGTGTGTTACTCTGAATATTCTTATTGGTTATGTACTATTACAAGCTCTTTTTCTTAATTCGTACAGGTAGATATAGAATAGTTTTGCAAATTTCCATTATTTCGTTTTTTTTTTTTTTTTGCCATTGTTTTTTTATTTCTTTTTATTGCAGTAAGGTTCACCCTGTACAAGGCGACAATCGAGGTAGAGGGTTACGAAAAGGTATAGTTTATACGGATAGGAGGAGGAAGATAACGGTTAACTCTAGACTTGAACAGGTCAAGTTTGTAGTGATCGGCGTGTTGTAACCTAGGTAAGGTTACTGAATAGAATAATCACATGAAGGTTGGTAATGAATGATAATACTTAGGACAAGAACAACGCATATAAGATTCGACGGATTTAATGTGGGGTATCCGAGCCCGTAGGCTCGGCTAAATTTTCCCCGTAGACCCCGTATAAGACGGGATCGGGTAGCTGTTCCCCGAAACGAGACTCTTTCCTTCGGCATAGCCTAGTCTGGGGATCCTCTCTGCCCGAAGGCAGAGAATTTGATCAGCACAGCTGGAGACGAATCTCCAACTGCAGTATATCTACCAACCGCCCCACGCTGTCAGATGTGGCACAAGGCCGAGTTTATTGTGGCGTCTCCGAGCCCGTAGACGAATCTCCAACTGCACACCAACATACAGTATTTACTACTGTATTTATGTGAATGGGGGCATACCCATTATCGTCTGTAGGTATGCTATAACACGGGAAAACATCCTCTTAGGAGTCTGTTCCACAAGGCCGTGGTTCACGGGAATAAGCCGCTCAAGTGGAACTTACTTCTCACCGATGGAATACGGAAGGAATGTAGGTAGTTTGCTAATGTGTAAGTGGCCTGGCGGATCCTAGCCGTAAAGGTTAGACCTCGTGGAACCAAGGAATGTAGTTCGTTCGAGCACTTTCGATGGTAGTAGCTATAGCGCAGCGAGAGGCTTGTCACATCCCGCGTATGAGAGAGAGGTTGAAGGGTGGAAAATAGTTCTTCTCCGACAAGGACTTGGAGATGCTTTTGAACTCTATCAAGACTGGAAAATGAGGAGCGGGAAGCTTCTGCTCAAATATGGCCTGGCTCTTATAAAGGTAGAGGATAGCATGATGAGTCAGTTACTTACTAGAGCGGTAGAGTGAGTGGATCATTTTCCCAGCTGTAGAACTTGGAGAGGGGAATTAACAGGAGATAACTGATAACTGACATCCATTAAACATGGCACGTGGAACTAGAACAGTCTACCCCAGTGAGCGAAATAAAGGGTTCAGTTCGACATTCCAAACACCTGAAGAAGGCCGGAGCGTACAACGGCCGAAACGTTGTAATAAATATGGCAACAAAGATGAGAACAATAGTCCGAATAATGTAAATAGTGTACATCTGATAGATAGATAGATAGATAGATAGATAGATAGATAGATAGATAGATAGATAGATAGATAGATAGATAGATAGAATATACGAGACTAAGTAAAAAATTATACGCACTTTCGCAATAACATATCTTTTATCACACTACCTTCTTCTTATCCGTGCTTATAGTTGACACTATTGTACTAGAGTGATCACAGTTTGATCTTGATCGCACCAGTTTTCTTGCTGCTGTAACAATGTAAACATGACCGCTCCGTTAGCCAGTCAAGGTAGAGGTCTACTGACTGAGGTTGTTACACGTACTAGGAGGAAGTAAGAGGTGCAGTTTAAGAGAAAGGCGGTTCTTAGCTGTGAAGTTCAGAACTGGTGGGACTAAGAAATGTAGCTCGTTAGAACATTTGCCATGGAAATAGCGACAGAGTAGCGAGAGGCTTGCGACGTTTCGTCTGTGGAATCGAGATTGCAGAGTTGAAAATAATTCATCAACCGCAAGGCTGTGAAGATGTTTCTGAACTCTGTCAAGGCTGGAAAGTGAAGTCAGAGAAGCGCCAGCCCAGATATGGAAGCAGTACTCTATTTTGGTCTGGTGGGGTAAGAAGAACTGGATTCATGCCTTTCCGAAGGCTATTAGTGAGGGGAAAAGTCTAGCCCAGAATTTGAATTTTGTTCGCCGATTCCACATTCCGTGCCGATAACCATTTCACTAACCGCACATCTTTTCAAGTATACACATAGCAATAAATGTATTTATCTACTGATACGTATTGTGAATATTTAATTTTATCCAAGCAAAGCTCTTATTTCTTGCCACTCGTAATGAGACGTGTTTGCTGAGGAAGTCGGTAGCCTATTTTTTTTTTTTTTTTTTGTCAGCACCAAAATAAATGTTCGAATCCAGACAGAAAATTGTTTTTGAAAGAATGTAATGATAAGTAATCTTAAGAGGAAATTAAATAAGATTGTTCCATCTTCTGTAAAACTATTTCTACATACTTTTAATATATGCAAAAATAATGACGTAATAATGTCGTTTTTGGACGTATTTTTTAACGTCAAAAAACGACATGATTACGTCATTATTTTTGCACCAACCTAATATCACGAAAATTTGTGCATCGCAACAAAAACGTAAGGCCTCATTGCAATGAACAAACGAAATCTACTGTCGTTGCGAACTCTCTTAAAACACCAATTTGGTACAACTAGAATCTGGTTGCCCTTGAAGTTGAGAGAATCAATGAAAGAAAAGCATTTTTATTTTGATGCTAAAGTCACTGTGCATCACTGGATCAAATTAAAAAAAATTCTCTCATAGATTCAGTTAATTTTAATTTTCATAATAATAAAATTATCAATCATCCCTTTTAATGCAAAGAGCTTAATGAGATTACGTAAAAGGGTAACATCGAACCCAACCGTTTTTTTATGAGCCGTATTGCCTTCAGGACGTAGGCGATCATGACTGTCCACAATTTCCTGTCCTTCGGCGCTCTAAATAAATTTTGTCTTTTTCTTACTTCTAAACATTGTTCCAGTATCCACTTACTAAAGCTCACTAAATAGATTATGCGTTGTTTTCCTCTGTTTCTCTTGTCTTCAATCTATCCTGTGAGTATCAGATTTTCTAAAACTTCTTTCCTCATTATGTGCCCTTGAAATGTCATCTGTGTCTTCTTGATGTTAATTATAAGTTTCCTATTTGTTTCCAATGTCTCTAAATCTTCGTCGTTGCTCACTTATTCGGTCCATTGTATCCTCAGCATCCTTCTGTAGAACCGCATTTCTATTGTCTCAAGTCTCTTCTTCATCTTTGTTATTCACCAGAATCTCCTCAATCTAAAAAAGGCTTGTATACATAAAAGACTAGCATTTTCATGCCATTTGTGTCCTTAAATTTTAAACCTTTATGGATGAAAAACAGTATGAATAAAAAGATCACTAAGGAAGAAAAATCTTTTTCACCTGCCACGCTGATAAAATTAATCTAAGACCCTGATACGGGATAAACAAATTTGACAAATAATTATACGTGCTTATCTCGCAATCCGTTGAGAAAAGTTTGATTATTTCTTCAAGTTCACTGCCATATTTGATCTACTACAACATATAAATCTGGAAATATTTTAGTTTAAGACAAAAGCTTTGTCTCGATTCGAATGCTGACTACTGCCGATGAAGAGAAATCCGTTAGTGCCAACGGAAATGCGCTTTATTTGTTTGTGTAAATCATTTTCGTCACTCTGAAGATAAGCAAAGAACTCTACGCCTGACTGAAAGGTTGTTGAAATAAAACAAGCATAACCAAGGCGTTGATAACTATCCAGGGAACAAGTTGCGAATTGTTTTCGCTCGGGAAGTCTCCACCCGAACACATTTATAAATCTAAAAATATGTGATAATTTTCAATTATCTTTTTCTTTTTTATTTCGGAAGTGAATTGTGCAATTTCTCATTAAAAATATTTCGAAACATTTTCAGCCACTCTCTTCGTTTCGCGACTTTATCTCTCTTTTTTTTTTTCTTTTTTTTTTTTCTCTCTTTTTACTCTGACATCAAACCGACCTTATTACAATGTTCATTTATTTGTTTATTTGCTTCGTTCCTTCGTTTCTTCCCGTTGAAGGATGTTTTGTATGATTCTTGTTTTCAAAATCTGTAAGGTGTGGCTCTCATCTTCACCTCTGCCATCTCAAACACAAATGAATGGCAGAGAATCAAATTAATGCTAATTGACAAAATTCATAGAATTTTACAGAATTAATTTAAGACACTCCAAATTGAGGAATTGCTTTAGCTATAAATATAAAAGGAAAAATGGGTGTTAAAGAATGGAATCGGAAAATAGAAAGCAATGGAGGCAAATATGCATTTTTAAAATCAAACAGAATAAAAAACAAAAATCGGGAAACGAATTAAACGGAAAACGAAAGGCAAACGCAGCAAACGCAATTCTTGTTTCTGCCAATTCATTATGACTACCAAAAATAGAAATTGACGACGAAATAACAAGTAACTGAAACGAAACAATACAAGAAAAAACATGAACAGTTATAATTTTTTGATAGAAGAAATATTAAGAATTATTTTTGAAGAAAAAAATTAAACGCAAAGGAAAAGCGCTTGGGGAAAATAACAAGACCAATTTCGCAGGGTGTGAAGAATTTTCTCCGACTTGACAGCATGACGAAAGATAAGACCTCTGATTCGAAAGCAATTTCAAGAGTGAGTTCAAACAAATAAAAATAACTCGTACAAACGCCAACTGAAGCAAGGAATTGTAGGAGCTCTCAGCAGAATTGAGTGGCTAAAATTTTAACAAATGTGACGCCTTGTAAATTATCTGATGTGAAGAAATAGATAGGTGACGAGAAAGGTGGGGTTGAGAAAGAGACAAGAATGCTGGGGGGCCAGGAAGGGGAGAAAATAACGGGAGAGAAAAAAGGTCATATGAATTAATAAAAGGATGAAAGCGGTGATGTCGTTTTAAGGGAACGAATTGCGAGAAAAATAATGGAAACTGATCAAGTGTCAGGCAGTAAAGAAAGGGCACAACCTGTAAAAAAGTGTAAAAGACAAATTAAAGAAGGAGGAAATTAGGCAAAAAAAAAAAAAGAAAATGAGTAATAAGGGAAAAGAATGAAAAATAAAGGGAGATGTAAAACGAATAAAAAAGACGAGAGGAAAAGAAAGAGAAAAGCAAAGGAGAAAGAAGACAGCAGTAACATGAAATAAACGATAGACAGAATACGGTGATAAGGAGGAAAATGTAATATAAAAAAGAGAAACAGAAACAAGATAAGGGAATCATCGGATAGAAACGAATACAAACACGAAAGAAGATTTATGATTAGAAAGAGGTTTTAGTTCAAGAAAGTTATGAAAGAAAAAGTCAGATTTGAAAGATGGGAGATAGAAATAGAGAAAGTGATAGAAAAAATAGAAGAGAAGCGGAGTTAAATAAATAAAAAAAGGAAATAGAAAAAGTAGGGGAGAGTTTTGTGTGTGAGAGAGGGGGAGATAAACACAAAAAAAGAAATATAAACAACTAGACAGGAGAGAAAATAGAAGAGTCAAGAGAGAGATAAAAACTAAGAACAGCGTTTCAGAGATATAGAGAGAAAAAGTGGGAATCATATATAGAAACATGGACAGAAAATGAAAATGTTTAAAACAATAGCATCTAATTTTGAAAGTATTTCTTCATGAATGTGCAGGACTACAACATCACCAGAAACGTATAACAACAACAACAACAATAATAATAATAATTATAATAATAACAATAATAATTGGAAAAGGTTACAATAGCTTAATTGAAGGGGTCCCTAGTAGCCCATGCCTTAAAAAATACAAAAAATTATACTCACAATTACAGCGCACACATTACATAGTGCTTTATCGATGTAAAATGTTTGTGATCTTAGATTGTCCTTTTTTTTCTTCTTACGATTGCTCAGTGGAAAATGTCATAAAACTAATTCTGAACTTAGGTCTCTGGTTGGGACTCGTAATTAAATGAGTATGCAACAGAAATCAAAGGAAATAAAATAATAATAACAATAATATCCGCACTGGAAAATATGAAAATTTTATGGGATCGAAACTACAAGAATCTGGTGCGAATATTATCCAAACCCGGTTACAGAAATAGGACCTGGGACAATTTCATGGAACTTTACAATATACACACAGACAGAACAATCAAAGCTAATCACCCAGATATCGGGATTAAATATCACAAAAACACAATTGTTTTTGCACGAAATCAATTGGAAAACACGATTAAGAGGCATCGCGAGAATGAAAGGGGGACAACTCATATCGAGTTATACTTATTATAAAACCCAGGTTTGTGTGTGTGTGTGTTCATTTATATATGGGATCGGATTTCCTACATTTTTCAACCGATTTCAACAAAACTTCACTTTTTTTTTTTTGGCAGGTAGTGTTTCTTATTGTCTTTTACACTTTTTTCTTTATTTTTACATTCAGAATGCTTTAAAAATTCCATTTACAAGACAATTGTTTATAATAAAATTCTATTCAATCGGTAGACTCCTAACGATTGAAAACAATGTTTTTGTTTGAGTTTGGGTTTGACCAATTCGTAAAAAAAAAAAAAAAAAAATTAAGTCCATCAACCTTAAACAATAATCTTTGTCAATTTTATTTTTCAGTCTTTATGATGGTCGATACTTGATCTATCTATTATTGTTACATCCCCGGGCAACGCCGGGCTCTACTGCTAGTGCAGATTGTAATGATCTATGAAGATCTTCAAAAACTATCAAACTACAAAGATCTTGAAGTGTAAATCTGAAAAATCTGTCACATGAAGACATCAGTAATTCCAGTTGTAGTTGGAGCTCTTGGATTGACTGGAAAAAGTTCCGATATACTCATTAAAGGGATACTTGGTAGTGCATGCCTTAAAGAAATATAAAAAAATGTACCCTCAATTACAGATCACACATTACGAACAGCTTTATCTATGTAAAATGTGTGTGATCATAGAGATTTGTTATTGTTTTTGTTTTTGTTTTTACAAAAAGAATCTGTGGAAAATTTCATGAAGCCATTTCTGACCTTAGGTCTCTGGTTGGAACCCGGAAGGAAATGTGTTAACAACAGAAATCGAAGGATATAATAATAATAATAATAATAATAATAATAATAAATACACTGATTCTATACCAGACATGGTTCCCATTCATAGTTACTGATCTTAATTGATATGATCTGTTAACATCTACATATTTTGTCTTGGTTAATTAACATAAGCTATAGTAAATATCTGGCAAGTACATTATTTACATTATTCGGACTATTGTCCTCATCTTTGTCGCCATATTTATCACAACGTTTTGGCCGTTGTACGCTCCGGCATTCTTCAGAATATAGACAGAATCTGGCAAGTGTTTTAACAGGGGACGGAAAATGTGACACCGAAATCGGAAGTCGCATTGGGATAACGAAAGATGCTTCCCAAAAGCTATACGAAGTATTAAGAAACAGGAAATTTTTTTTACAAACAAAAAAAAATTGTACTGGACTGTTATGTAAAATTAGTCTTCCTATATGAAGGGACAATCTCATCACAGATGAAGAAAAGACTTGCGGTAACAGAAATGTGGTTCTACAAAAGGATGCTTAGAATGTCAGGGACCGAACATGTGAGCAACGTCGAAGTTTTAAATAAAATGGAAACAAAAAGGACACTTATATATCAGGAAGAGACAGTTGAAAATTTTAAGGCATATGATGAGGAAAGAGGGTTTGAAAAATTTGGCACTTACAGGACATATTGAAGGCAAGAAAGTCAGAGGAAAGCAGCACATAACACCCGCCTAATGAGCATGTGTAAATGGATGACAGAACAGGATTCAGGAGAGATTAAGGACAGGGAATTACGGAGGAGCCATGATTACCAGGTCCTGGTAAAATGATTTAGGAGTCTAGATACTTAGTAGCACTTCAGGTCAGAGACTATCTGAGCGGACTGAGTTAATCGACCTGAAGAAATTTCTGAGCCCTGAAAGGATATGCGTTGCTTTTATGAAAAGGCGCGTATTTTGCTGGGAATTAGTGTCATTGTCGTCATATTGAGCTTTGTTTATTTGTACCTTACCGTCATTTTGTTGGCGTACTGCTCTCTGTCTTGATAAAGATAGTAATAATAATCTGAAGAACAAGAATAAGAAAAACAAGAAGAATTACATCCCTGAATTTGCAGAAAAAAGAGTTTCTACAAAAAGAAAACAAAATGTATAAATATCAATAAACAAAACGATAATGGTAATATTAGCCGTTTCTTTATAAGGAAACATTCAGTATTCTTTGACATAGTAACTATTACTGTCGGTTGAAATTCATAAAATCTTTCTCTTAAAAACAATTTTGCAGAAAAATATATTTCTCAAATCCAGTAGCTGTTATTGCTCTTTCTAGTATTGATGGGAATTTCCTTCCTAACATTTTGTTTGAAGTAGTTTGGAATGTCAGCAACTACTTCAATTAAATGGTTACTAAGGAAACCAATGTTAATACCGGAAAGAGCAATAACAGCTACTGGACTTAAGAAAGCCATTTTCTTAAAAAATAATTTAAAAATATATTTTATAAATAACAGCTTCTGGACTTGAGAAAGCTATTTTCTTAAAAAATAATTTAAAAATATATTTTATAAATAACAGCTACTGGACTTGACGAACCTATTTTCTTGAAAAATCGTTTTAAAAAATATTTTATAACTTTAAACCGATAGCTACTTGAAAAAAGAATGCTGGATGTTTCCTTATAAAGAAACGGCTAATATTACCATTACTGGTAATACATTTTGTTTTCTTTTGGTACAAACTCTTTTCTCTACAACGAGGATTATTGTTGTAATGGCTGTAACTGTGGTTTGCATCAGCCACTGCGTATTGTTGGATTTTTATTTTTGTTGTTTTTATAACTGTATATTTCATTATTTTATTTACTTTTTGATGTAATTTCAAAGATAATCGAAATTCACTTACTAACTTATGTCACCTTAAAACGCGAGAAAAAAATATGGGCGTCTATTGCGGTGGTTTTCCTATCATTTTGTCAATTACTGAACGCCGACAAGGCGTTGCAATGATTAGCATAATAGAAATGTTTCGCGGGATAATCAACATTTTCCGGGACAATTTTATTTTGTCTGATTAGCAGGAAATGAACGTAGAACCGGGCTTTGAGAAAGAAGACATATTCGCTTTTATCTCTAATGAACGACACGGTGTAAAATCCTTTTTATTTCTGTTTCAGAAATGAACATTAATAATAATAATATTTTTTAAAGAGAAAATATTTTTTTGATAAAAATGTATTCAGGCTATACAACATGGATACGCAGGTAGTGCAACTGTTAGCGACTCGGATCAAAAAATCGGCGAACCGAGTTCGAATTTCGACCGAGTTCACTTATGCACAGATACTCTTGTGGAAAAATATAAATCTCTCTCTCCCCTACCTAGCTATGGTTTAAATAGCAGAGCAGACTGAGTCCCCTAGCCTTGAGTGGCAACAATTCTAGAAGAAAAACTCACAACTTCTGCTACGGCTGTATTACCCGTAGTCCACCTAATGGATTACAGAACTCGTGCGTGTAATACAGCAAAAGTCTAACAAGCTATTATTTGAAATATTTTGAGTTCAATCCTATATCGGCGCCGTAACTAATTTTTATGTACTTGTCAATCTTGTAAATCTCTCAGGATGCCGCTTATTGTAATCGTTTTTTTTAAACAAAATCTTTTAGATAACAATAACCGGCCGATAATAAAATGCAAAGGACATAAAATTAGAACAATTTACATTGATTTTTATTAAACTTATCATATGCAGAAATCAAATTTAAAACTTGTCAGTTTCGTTCGTTTTCGAATTAATGCCCTTGGGAAAGGCATGAATCCATCTATTTTTCTTTCCACTCTTGGTTAAATAAGAGTGTTGGTCGGCAACTAGTTTAAGAGAAGGAAAACTCTGATTTCCAAACCGTGGAGAAAGCAACAGGAAAACATTCCACTTTCTCAAGAAGATATAGCAATTCGCAGATAATAAAGAAAGCTGTGGAGAGTCATGATCACTTACGTCCTGAAGAGATACGGCACGTAAAAATACTTTGCAATATGTATATATTTATCTCTCTCTCTCTCTCTATATATATATATATATATATATATATATATATACACGAAATTTATTTACTTGAAATTGTTATTTTTAATTCATTTTAAATAGAAAGTTTAGACTTCTTCTATTTTTTTTATATAGCGCGCCCCTTCAGGACATCGGCGACTATAGCTCTCCACAACTTTCTATCTCGTGTTGTTCTTAGCAGTTTTCATTTCTTTGCTAAGACCCGCCCCCACTCCGTTCCGCCATCCATTTACACAAACTTAGCTAAGTGATACGCTGCCTTCCCCTATCTCTCTTGCTGTCCAAGAAATTTCAACTGTCTCTACCTGATTCTGATTATAGGACATTTTGTTGCTTATTCGCTTTGTGTTTGGATCTCGT